TACCATAGTCATAACGGCACTGGTGGTACAGTTACCTCTAGGTAAGGAGATTTTATCTACAAGAAGCAAGCAAGCATTCATCTTTAAAAAGGCATCAGATTATTTTTGGAATGTAATACCACCTTCAGATGCCTGCAGGTTTGGTATTCAACACCTCATTCAGTAGCAATGAGAATGGGACATTTCTCAGTCTAGCAAACATACCAACTGTTGTCAGATCAAGGTTAATACAATCAGCAAAGAGATACAATATCCTTAGTTGAATAAAATTCATTGATATTAGTGAGATCTAAAGCACAGGAAGTAACACTGTTCACAAAGGAGAGTTTATTTTTCTGTCCTAGAATTCAGTTTCTAAGGTATGTTGTTACCCCTGAGAGTGTTTAATCATGTATTATATTTATGCTTGTTCAGACGCAGTCTGCATATTCTGATTCAGAATATTCTGTTTTCAGTATACTACAACCCCCCCTGTCATGATGCTTCAACTGAAACCTTAAAAATTACAAGAGCAAGCCTCTCTTTGCTTCAGTTCACAGAAGCAACACACAAGAGGAGAAAGCCCAGAGCCGAGATATGCATCCTTTTTTCCTTTAACTAGAGCCCCAGCTGATTTCATTAAATCCATTTCCTCCTGGCATACTTAAGTAATACTCATTCATCCTTGTCATAAATTTTCTGCTATCAAAAGGTTAAGCTCTCAAGAATTACAGGCTTTTTGAAAGCTATTATCACCTACGACCACAGTATCTCTTACTTGCCGTAGAAACTGGCACAATTTGGCATTAATTCTAGTAACGCAGTTTCTTCTAACCATGTCTCACCTGTGTGTCATTAAGTGAATGACCTTCAGCTGGCCTCTCCAGCACTGGTACATGGTTACTGCCTGCAGCATACAATTAGCTCCTTTTCACTATCCATAGCTTCATCACCTCTTCTTAAAACAAATAGATTACCACTGTACAACAGTTATGATAAGAAAAGTTAAAAAAAAAAACCAGCAGAATTATAGTCGTGGTATCAGGATACAGAAAACAGGATTTGAAACTTAGTTTTAAGCAGCTTTCTTCTGGATCGCACCTGGTTTCCACGTCAGTCTGCATTTTCACTGGAAATCCTTCTATTGCAGGGAGCAGAAAGCCAGCAAACACTGGCTCTGGTTACTTGGCAGAAGAGCAGTTCTAAGTTCATACCAAATCAAGCTCCCACAAGGTAAACACATGGAGCTGGTGTAAAAAAAAAAAAAATTAAAAAATAAAAACAATACAAAAATTCTGTGGGTTTCATCAGTAAAGCTTTCTAGTGCAGAGGTGGCCTTGGTCCAAAATACTTCTGATGATATTTAGGGATATGCAACTATTCAAAAAGCTGCAATTAGAGTTATTTTTTTTTCCTTTGACTTGCATATTTGTTGAGTAAGGTTGCAACAGCCACTGCAGTTCTCAAGAATCTCTGCTCTTTGGCTCATTCGAAGACCAGACACCTAAAGAGCAGCAAGGGAAAATTCAGCTGTTGGCTGAGCAGGTGCAAAGCAGCCCCAGAGCCGGAGTTTGACACATTAAAGAGCATAAACACATCTCCCAACGAACCTGGGTGAAATTAACCTAATATGCATTACTATGACAGGCTGCACTTCAGTAGCACTTCTAAGATCAGCAGCAAAACAAGTCTGATGGGTGGCAGAAGTAGCAAACAAAGGTTGTTTCTGTGTTTGGTGTTTGTTTGTTATGTTTGGGTTGGGTTTATTTATTTATTTATTTAGAGCAGTTAACACAAAAGCAACTACCAAAGCCCAGCAAGCTTTCCGGAGAGACTTTTTGAACATACTGACAGGTGGTGTTTTGGTTTGATTTTTTTTTTTTTTTTAATGAAGAGACTTCATGCGTAGCAAGGTTGGTGTATGTTGAGAGGGAGAATTTGCATCTCTACTGTAGAAATAAAGCACGGTTTCACAAAATATGACTTTATCATGTAATATTTGCAGAAACAGAAAGTGAAAGACGTCTGCTACTCTGACTTGTGTTTCAGCTCATCGTTTACATAGAATTAGAGCTCTTGTCCACAAATTGAGGAGAAAGTACATAGTCAGCAGGCACAGTGGGTGTCAGCACACACCTCCACGTGCTAAGAGAGAATTGTCCAAACAGCATAATTGCAGCTGATGTATGTTGCTTTGGATCTGTATTATTTTACAGAATTAAGAGAGTCGTCAGAAGAACAGCACCGGTAATATACAATACCTATCTTAGTCTTTCTGCCTCTTCACTACATGCTCCCATTAATTCCAGCTCTCCAGACTCAAATCCTGAGTAGTTCCAGGACCACATTTGTTTCTTCCTGTTTCCTGATTAATTTTTTGGGGGGAGAGTTGAACAGAATGGTCTACACGAACACCCCCATGGAAGTCTGGTAAATAAACAGGCAGCCCTTCTTCTTCTTCTTGCCCTTTTTTCAGTTCGCAGATATAAAAAGGGGCTTTCTTCAAGGCTGTGCAAAAACCACACAGCACAGTACCTACAGCTGCTCTTAACTCTGGGCATAAGAGCAAGGGTAAGACGGTAGAGGTCTGATAAAGCTCCCACATCAGCACAGTACAACTGCTGAATTTTCTTCCACCAGAGATCACTGATGTATTTTTTATGTGTATATATACACACATATGCAGTCTTGAAGGTCAAGAGGAAGCACCTGCTCAGGGTTGCTCAGATGTGTTGAAGATCCTCTTCATGGTGAGCTCACAAAGCTCACTGCACATTGTCTTGTTAAAAGTGGGAGAAATTTACACCATTATTTCTTCCCCAAAAAGGCACAAATACTATGCCACCCCTTGGCTGATTGATTTTTTTGGCAATGCTGTGCCAGGCAATAGATGGATGAATACACACAGACACTCACACCAAGTTCCCAGCAAAACTTACAGTTTCAGAAGTGGAAAGACGACTGCTCCCTGCCAGCTTGCCTTGGGAACCACACCAGGACAGACCAAGAGTCTTCAGAAAATAACTTGCAATGGCTTTTAAAAATTAAACACCTTGAAATCCTCACAGCTAGCTTACTACTGATTTTATATAATTTTTTTTGCATTAATTTTGCTTAACTTTTCAATGGTTTTACGCTTCTTTTCCCATTTGTGGATGTACTGAACGAAAACGTTTCACTTCTACACATTGCATCTGCGTTTTCATAGTATGTATGTACCTCAATGCCATCCTGCTACGTATGTATTTGGAAATGGTGTTTTAGCTGTTTTATAATGCTTTTTGGGTGGAATGACTACATACCTAGTGCTTCTGGCTGAAATCAGCAGTATTTTAAGAAAAGGTAAGGAGAACTGCATTCACTTTCCATCAACTCACTGTTTTTTCCTTAAAGGTTGTACACAGGTCCTGTACTTTTCTCCTCAGAGGTCTCTGTTGTAGGGTGTCTCCAAAGTGCCTTCCTTTGGGCAGTAACAGTTGGGCTGGCCCTGTGCTCAGTGAAACATGGAGATCTGAAAGTAGTACGGTGTAAAGAATTTACCTTGGCAGTTCCTTTCCCTTTGCCTGGCCTTACTGTAATTGTACAAAGTCACATATCTTCTGTGTGGCATCAGCATAAACATCTGTGCTCCTGCAGGAAAGTCTGCTGTTACCTCTCCTTTCCCACACGCTGCTGTGAGAAACAGAATCATGTTCCTGAACGAAGGACAGGCTTGAAGTACAGCACAGGTTCAAAACATGGACAAACAAACTCCATTTCCTCCAGCCTTGCTCTGAGATAAGATGACTTGAACGGCATGTTTTCCTGAACACATCCAAGCCATCCAGATAGAGCAACAGCTCCAGCCTGAAAGCCATGCAGTATTTTTAGCCTAACACTACGTACAAGGTAAATCCAGCTTATCAAGCAGAACTATCTGCTGTAACACATCTTAAGGATTACAGCTGCCTTGCAACTTTCTGTCCTTGTCAGCAAAGAAAATCCTTCAGAAAAGCGCTTTTAAGGGGAGGAAACATCCTCATTACTGTGACCTCCAAAGAACAGTTTTAAAAACAAAACAAGGCAGACATAAGCAATGGCACTTCAGAACTGCCGGTGAAGGACTGTTTCTACAAGCACTGATAACTTATCATCTGTGAGGAGATTCTCCCAATGGAAGCATGCCAATGGAAGATAAGTCACTTCTTGGAAGAAAATTAAACCAGGCTGGTGAAGCTCAGAGTTTATTTTGGCTTAATTATGAATTGAGCACAGATTTATGCAAACTGGATTTAATCAAAATAGGTAAAATTAATGGAAGCCTATCAAATACAAATTGGGGGTGGAGTACCAGCCTTTAGCTTTTCTTACCTCAGCTGTAAACTTTTATGTCAAATAGCCTTGGCTAGATAAACAAGGGAATGGATGGACTGCATTCCACTTTTAACCGCTCTGTTTAGACTGATTAGGGTACTGTTACTAATTAGGAGACATTACAATGGTTCTACATGCAGTGGCAGCACTGCATGAAATGACTTTAGCAGACCTTCCCTTGTGCTAGCATAGCTTCTCCAAGCATACAGAACCTGGATTAGGGAATAAATCTGCCCAAAATTTAACTGCCGCAGGCAGATTAGTTATTCTATTTCAAGTCTAGGTATCTTCAACCAAGAAATACAAGATCTTTTACGGATGCTGAACTACAAATCCTTTGGATTTGTGTCCATAGATCTGCTGCAGGCCCCATCCATCACAGGCAAAAGCTTAAGGGCTCTGAAACAGAGTTTAAGTATTTCATGACAGCCTATTACTCTCACCTAACAGCTCCATCCTCTCCAGGACGACACCTTTCTCCTGTCAGAACAGTTGCAAAATCCCTTCAAGAGTTTCATGTAATCTCCAAAGAGTCCTCCTTCCCCCTTTTAGCAAGGGCTAAAAAAAAAAAAATAATAAAAAAATACTCTAAAACAAACAAAAAAACCTACTGAACCCAGGTAATCCTTTTGTAATGAAACTCTGAAAACATAACAGCAAAAGGAGACTAACAGGGATTAAAGACTTTAATTATTCTGCATAAAGACAACATGTGCAAAATGTAACATTCCCTTATTTACAATCATCATAAATCACATGAAAGCATGCAAACTGGAACAACAAAGTTCTAAATATTACTTCTTAAAAAAGTGCTGTACAGGTGTGTTCCTTGTACACACACTCCACGCTCTGTGGTGTGTGACTGAGCCACCCTTGCACTGGGACACTCACCTGAGCACACCCAGAAATAACGTTTTGGAAGGGACTGGGAGTAGTTTTGGAGAAACAGCTTACTTCCACATGAGCAGCACAATGGGCTTTTGGCCCTTGGTACACCACCAGCCCCACACCCAGGCTGCTATGTGTCATCCCCAGCACACCCACAATCCTGCAGTGACCTTGCAAAAAACCAAACCAAACTCCTGCAAAGAGACAGTTCCCAGCTCTAACAGACATTCGTATCCTACTACCTGCTCCATAAAATACCACAAGGACTATAAAAATTCTTGTAATTGGCACATGAATCTGGTCTAAACTCCACTGTAGCCACAGTCCTCACACTTTGACTTTCTGAGCACAGTGCTAGAAGTGTAAAACAAAAGAGTCTATCACAACCCTTAGCCTGAACACCCCATGCCCAAGACCAGCTCCAAACCTGGAAATACTACTGCTCACCTCCAATTCCTGCAGGAACAGCAGGCACTGAACTCATCCTCTTATACTCTTAGCAGTAGATAGGCTCTTCAGGTCAGGCTGCAACACACATAAAAGCAAAATCCAGGTATTTAGGCTGTGTTGCTTTTCAGTCACTCATCCCCTTAAAGAGAGTGATACGATTTTGATAAACCATCCACCTTTCCTTTCTCTTCTCTCACTAGGCTTCAGTAAATGCTAGCTTAATATATCTTATCTCAGAGAACGGTAAATATGCCAGATGGATGACCCAAAAGCTAAGAACAGTTTGTCTTTAAGAACTGGAGAAAGGCTGAAATTATCTACATTCTTTTGAAGCAGTTCTTCAGGTTGGATGTACAATTCTGGTCCACTAGAGGAAACAGGGTTTAACTCCTTGATTTAAGGGGTGGCATTCTTCAGTTCGACTTGGATCAATTCACCAGCATAACACTAGCGCACCCGAAGTAGCATGATCTCCAAATGGCAACAGCAGGATCCATCAACTGAAGTAGCCTTAACAATATGATGCAAGTGTCATCCGTCAACGCAGGTAAAGCAGAAACATTCTCACAAAAGCTTTAAGGAACATCCATCATCATTGTCGTGCAGGCTTAAGGAAATCTGAAGTTTTACACTTGAGGCAGAGCTTGCAGAAAGCAATCTATCCTTAAAGAACTGGAGAAACCTAAACAGAAAGGTAGAAAACAGCATTTTATAAATACGATATATCTAGTCATTAATAGCAAAACATCTGCTCTTTTCAGCTGTAGCATTACAGTAGAAGTAAATGGAACTGAGCTCTGGTATGGTGAGCACAGTAGAATAGAAAAAGCCATTATCGTCCATACTAAAAGTGTTACAGAGAGTATGAACACTTTGAGAACGTAAGTTATTGGAAAACCAGCAAGTACTACATACCCTATAATCCTAAGCATTTGTCAGAGGAAATGAAGCAGTTGAGCTTATCTTTCTCAACCCCTTGCATCATTTTCACCTAAATGTCATTAATTCATAGAATACATTTTCCTCTCAATTCTAATTAACACATTTCTGCCATATCATAAGTGTATAATACTGACTATTTTTTTTTTCTTTTAAAAAGCAACCAGATTCAAACTCGTGGACATTTAACTGGCCTCCAAACAGCCACATTTATTTTCCCTGTTTAAGACCAAAATTTTCTTTTAGCAAAAAGGTGGGTGGTGTGGAATTTTACCATGTAACCCACTATCTGATTTTCAAGCAACATTCACCTTCCACTGACGAAATTCCTACCATTTGAGAGTTAGAGCTCATCACGCTTAAAGAACATGTTCAAGGCAGTGTCTCTCGCAAATATTAATCTCTGCATCCCAGGAAACCAATGTGTTGCTTCGCAGAGAAGCTATTTAACTCAGTTTCTACATTTTACATGTCCCAAAGATAGTTTTTCTATTGCAATGAGTGACTGCAAACCCACTGAGTATATGCACTCCTTATTAGAGCCTTATTTACTACAAAGACAACTGCAAAGTGGCTAAATATCAACTATGTAGACCGGAAAGGCTCTCTGAACCATGATGTACAGAGACACACTTCTCTTACCTGCACGTTTCACCTGATGTTGATTGCACATATGCTGACTGTAAATCTCTTCCTCTTTCAGTGCAGATTTTATGTGACTGCACCAGTTTTCCAAGACTTGATCTGTTGATCTCAAACTATATCCCTATTCTTCAAATCATTTCTGTGTCACAGGAGAAAGCCTTTCTTCTTCGATACTTCTATATACAAAGAGAGACTAGATATTTTCAAATATTGAATTAGCACTTTAGAAGAGTGAATCCATATTAAATCTTATTCATGCTCAAAGAATATAAATTAAAAAAACCAAAACTATAAAGTCACTAGAAAAATGCCATTAGCACATTTTTTAAAAAAATCTCTATCTGCCTTTTCTTATTGCTAGAATTCAAAACCTAAGGAGTGTAAAACTAGTTGTGTGCCAGATTCTGAATACAATATTCTTAATAAGCTTTATTATGCAAAATATTCCAAGATCACTATTAAACAGACATTTAGATCCTAGTCCATAATATTTCAGAGTCTGCATTAAACACAGATCAAAGACAAATCAAATCACACAACCGCCGACTTAGTATACCACCCCATCCTATTAATGCACCACAGAACTCTACAGTTCTACTCTGCAGAAATCTCTGTTCCATATTCAAACTTGTGGCTTCATCACAAAAATATTAAGAGGCAGAAATGCTGCTACTGAAATAATTAAAAAAAAATTGGCACTTCTTGTTTGGCTAATAAGATAAAAATACCTTGTTTTCTGGCTGAACAGTTAAATACTTCAATTTACTAAGTCTGAAGTATTAGAACTTTTAATTAAGGTGCTTCATTAAACACAAGAGGATGGACTAAAATACTAATAGGATAAAGGAACAAAAAGAGAAACTGATCTGCCTAAACTGAACAGCTGCATTCTGTAGAACAATACTGCATATGGGCTACTGAAACAGAATAGGTCAAGTAGTCAGCATGGACTCACCTCGGTACTTAGATTTTCTTCCTCATTATTCTATCATCAGCACTTGCACTTGCCCATCCCCTTTCAGGGTATTCTGACTGATGTCCTTCCAATAAACTGCTACAAAGTTTAAGCCTACAAATAATAAATAAAAAAAAACCACTCAAAGACTACATAGATTTATTATGGAACTTTTTTATACTTAAATACACCTACAACCTGCTGTTTACTCCAATACAGACTACAACAAGAGAACATAAGGACAGAATTTTACCACACAAGATAATTATTGGCAAACCCATCCCTAAGAATAACAGTGAAAAAAAATATATCCACATTTATAATATAAGTTTGGATTGAAATACAGCAATAAGGACATTATGCTTCTAAATACGCCAAAAAAGCCCCCAGTTGATAAGCATTTTATACCTCTCCAGCCTGCAGTCTGTATCTCTCCAAGTTTTGCTGTCAGGCAGAAAGAAGCTGGTGTTTTTCTGTTTCTGATTGTTCCATCCAGAAGAACAACTGGCTGGCATTGGGTCACTGCATAGAAACAAATATCATTGTTTTCAGCTACAAAACAACCCAATCTCCCAGAAGACAGGGAGGAAGCTTTCAGCTCCTAGGCTGAGGAAGTGAGAAAATATTAAGAACCATGGGGACCAATTCCGTAAAATGCCAATGCTTTCCATAAGACAGAGGGTGTTAAGGGGCTCAGCACCTTCCAACATTAATTAACAGCAGAAGCAGCAGAAAGCAACAGATAGAAAGTCAGATTGGAAACAGCCAAGTGAACTCTAAGAACAAAAATAACCAAACATACCAGACGTTGGAGTAAGTGTAAGGAGAAAAAAAAGGTAGTATTAAACAGTGAAGGAAAAAGATTATAAAAAAGCCAAGGACACCTTCACAGCACAAGCAATAAACAGAGAGAATATTATGGTATTTACCTTGTTATTTCTATACCATGTTGTACTGTCATTACTTCATCATTTTCACCAAAGGCTTCCCACTCTGAGCACTTTGAAAACGCCTCTTGATGTCTTGATTCCGTAAGACTAGAAAGAAAGTGAAAAGGTCTAAAACCAGGGACCTCTGTATCAGAGTTCCTCTTAATTCTTCTGAAGATAAGCGGGCTAGACAGAGAGAAAAAAAACACGCTTGTATGAACATTTTTACTAACGTTGGTATGAAAAGTCTACTCAACCCCCCAAAACTTAAATCATTGTTCCAGTTCTCTTCTGCTTTTCACAAACTTTGTATAGAGTTAAGCCATGCCCTTCTCTACAAAGCCTATTATTTCCCATTTACAGGAAGATTTCTTAATCAGCAGCTATGAAAGGGGAAAAAAAGAAATATTAAAACCAATTGTTATAGGAGTAGTACAATTCCTAAAACACTCAGAATAAAGTGTTAGCCTAAAAAAATCTACCCTTCTGTTATCCGTTTTTTAACATTAACCTAATTCTGTCCCAGGCTGGCTGACCAACTCCTTGTTGTTCCAACAAGCATTTTCTTTCACGCCATCTTTCATAATCAAAAGCTTAATCGAAATACACAAAGCTTCTTTCACACCCCTTCATGAACACATATTCTCTGTAATACCTATAGCAAATGCATTTAAACAGGCAGTGAGTTTCAGTATTCACTGACAGACTTCGGAGTGCACATTGGGCTCCATTCCTTTACCTTCACACTCATCAGTTGCACACAGGCTGCACACCAAAAAGCAGAATGCAGGGCATGTGAGAGGTATGGGAAACAACCATAGCAGGAGCCTTACGATTTCAGAACTACAACCTCTAAAGCAGAAACCAGGTTCCATGATAAACCAAGAACACCATGTTAGTGTTGCCTAATTCTACTAACAAAAAAATAACTTATGTTGTGTTTTCTAACACAATTGTTCTGGCATTATTTCATTTCCTCATTAAACTGAGCACATATTTATATAAAATTAAAGCTATTAACAAATGGAAAGATAAATACTAGTCATATTCTGAAAGTCGGGTTGTAATATCAATGAGTCTTCATATGGAGAATCATTTCATACCTTTCCAGTGTGTGGTACATATTCGCATAATGGTTTTTGCTTTTTGAAATCACAGAGGAGTCAGAATTGTTCCTTTTTCTACGTTTCCAGACTGGAGAAGAATCGGGAGAAGAGGGACTGCAAAATGAAGACACAAAATTTACTTGCACATTTTTCATTTGTGTTTAAATGTTTAACAGAGTTTTGCAAATAACAGCACATGGAAGACTTTTGAGGTATAATTCTTCAGTCACAAGAGGAAAATAGAGAAAATGTCTCAAATTTTGGTAACAACTCCACTGTATTTTGAAAAGTAAACTGAGTCACAATCGAACAAGAAACTTAGAAGCAGAACAATTTTCAGCTCCACACACATATCTCCAGATCAAGGTATCTCAGTAAAGAAGGAAGTGCATGAGGTGCTTCATTGTTAGTCTACCTGCTGTTCTGCAGACAGAATACTGTTAATTAAGGATCCTTCTGAAAAAAGTATCCTATTTTCAGCACTTGCCAACAGTGGTTAAAGAAACCTCAGTACTCCCCTGTATAAACAGAGAAGCTGAAAAAACACTGCATTTTTCTGTCGTTAATCATGAGATTCTGTAATGCTGGTAATTCTTCCACATTCTATGCTCTGTACCAGTAACGGATTACATTCAACAGCAAAAGTGCCAAACTCCTAGTCGGAGTGTTAACTGCATTCCCTCATTAAACAATTCCTAAAAAACCTGACTGTATCAATATGTACTGAATTATTTCAATAAGTTAACGACAAAAGTTTTATCTCATACTTCTCTGGTACGTCATCAGTCAGTCTGCATTCATCTTCGCAGTCATTTCTCTTCTGCTTTTCGTCAAATACAAGGGAGCCAGAATCATCCTGATCTTTGCAGAACCATTCTTGGGAACTGCCCGAGGGTTCTGTACTACTAAAAACAGAAAAGAAAAAAAAAAAAAAAAAAAAAAAAAGCAAGCCACAAGAACCACATGAAAGAAATACTGATCCAAACCAGAGAGATGAAAGCAGAACAAAGCCAGCAAAGGAAGAAAAAAAGCTAGTAGATATCAAGTATATTTTTTTTTAATCTAAAAATTTGTATCAAAGTGTCCAATTAAGTTTTGATATTAAGCATATGGTATGACAGTAGGAAGTACAGCTCCAGTCCGTTGCATCAAGGAATGCCTATGAACATACAGTTTCTAACCTATGGTGGAGCAAATCTCAGACTTGCAGATTTACAGTGAACAAAAAGATTATTCTCTTTGCAGACCTGTAATGTTTGATGCCTGAAGGCTTTATTCTATAGCAGGAATTGTTATATGAGGCAATTGGATCCCAACAGTAAATGGAGAAGTGATGACAAACACACCATGGCCATATGGAACTTACCATAAGATTATTTTTGCATTGATGTCTTCCCTGTATGGAAAAGGTGATCTAACACCAACTTGAGCTTTTTCAACAGGATTTTGGTGAGAGTCCAGCTGCTTTGCCTCATAGGCATCAGTCCAGCCTGGCAGACTGTCAATGTCCACAAATTGGGAAGGAGCACCCAAGGGATCCATGGAATGGAAACAACAACTCCTTTCCTCTGCTGACTTGTGACACTCCAATCCTCACTGGAGTCTTCCAGGTGCTTTAAAGGAAGAAAAATCAAACCAGGTCACCAACTGTTCATTAAGGCTAATTCCTGTGAAGCCAGGCCTTTCACAAGGCTGCGATACAATTCAAGTCAACAAAAAAAAGAAAAAAAAAAAAAAAAAAAAAAGAAGATTTAAAATACTACCCATCTAGCTTACCACTTCAAGCAGAAGACTGTTAAGCTGCAGTTAATATTCATCTCATATGACATCCAAATGGTGCAAAGCAACTGCAATTTCTAATGTAGGTCAATTACAACACAGCTAAAACTATTTACCCACTGTAGGTACAGAGCTAATAGATTTCCACTCCTTCACATACTTTACTAGTCCAGCCCTTGTAAAGTATTAGGTGGTGCCAGTTAGTGAAACCAGCTTTGTTACGGAAATTCAAAGTTCTGAGAAGATATTAAAAAAATTCCATCTGAACACAGTTGCCACTCTCCTGCAGAGATCACAGAAATCTCTCTCTAATCTTCTTATGCTTCTCAAATCCTCTAACATCGTTATTGCAGGAGAAAGGTGGTTCCAATGACGTCAGAAAAGGAAAGACAGAAAAGTTATCAAGGTCACGGTAATCTCAGAACTTCTGCTTATGCCTATCCCTTTCTAGAGAAAAAAATTTACCTTGTGCTCATCAGTGTAAGCACACAGTGCAAGCGATTGTACTACAGACAGACCAAATGCCTTCCTCCCCAAAGCACCTTACTGGAAATGGATTTAAGCTAAATAATGGGAATATCTTGAAAGACTGACAGAATTCAAAAGGAAAACAAGGCATTCAAGGAGAATTTCTGAGCCCAATCGCGTCTCTTTCTCCCAATTAGGAATGGTCCTCCTGTAAAGCAAGAGATGTGCTAACTTAATTCACCCATACACACACTGGCTGCAGATCCCAGGTTTCTTCAGTAGGAGGATCCCAGGCATGCAGTGCTATCTTCCAGAGCCTGATCTGCTGGTCCCAGGATCTACGGCTGTACTTCTTGAATTTGTTAGGAGTTCTAGGATGAACTCCTGGTATTCGCTGATTCCTGTAAATACACAGCAACATTTATTATTTCAGAATATGATTTTTGTTCTTAAAAAGAAATCCATCTTTAAATTTTCATTCTTAAAAAGAAGTCTACCAGATCACACAGGCACCAATGGCATAATAAATAAAATTTTCATACTTTTAAACACATAACTGAAGCGCATATAGTCTAAAACATTGTCAAAAACAGATCACACAAGCAACAACTAACAATACCATGCTAAGTAAGACCAGAGGTTCATCCAGTCCAGCACTCTGAGAGTTCCCAAAAGCATATCCCTACCGCCCATGAACAAATATAAAACAGAAGAAGCATTACTCATATCCCTTGGATAGCATCCCAGCCTCCAGCTACTTCTACCTCAGTTATTCTGAGTTTCTTTGTATTGAGTACTGTACTGAGTCGGGCTGGCATAGAGTTAACTTCCTCCACAGCAGTCCCTGTAGTGCTGTGTTTTGGATGTATGGCTAAAACAGTGCTGATAACACACTAGTTTTAGGCTGTTGCCGAACAATGTTCAAGGCCTTTTCTTTTACCTTCTCTGTCCCATCCCCTCCTGCAGCCAGTAAGTTGAGGATGAACAAGAAGTTGAGAGGGGAAACCACTGAGACAGCTGACTCAAATTACCGAAGGAGATATTCCATACCGTATAATATGATGCTTAACAATAAAAAACAGGGCAGAGAAAGAAAGGGAGGTGTCTTCCAAAGTGGCCACTGCTCAGAGACTGTCAGGGCACCAGTTTGCTGGTGGGAGGTAGCAAGGGATTATATTTGCATCACTTGCTTGTCCCCCCCACCTCTCTTTCCTTCACTTTCTAAACTGCCCTTATCTCAAATCTATCAGTTTGCCCACTTTTGCGCTTCCTATCCTTTCCCCATCCCACCAGGGAGAGGAAGGGAGCAAATATTTGTGTCTTAGTACAGACTAGCTTCTGAATCTTGACAGCTCTGCAGTAAGCAGAGGGGGCTGGCTAAGAAATCTTGATTTAAGTGCCACAATTCACAGACTGAAGCTCAAAGCAGAATGACAAAGAAAGCAAGAAATCCAGATTTTGATTTGTTAGTTGCTGATTAATCAATGAAGATTGGTTTCCCTTACCAATACTTAAATACAAGGCTTTATTCAGTCAAAAGCTCTCATTTCCTGGTATCAATTAACTTCACGCTGGCCTAGCACCACCATCAGCAGAAGTGTCAGATGGAGCCGATAAATACAGACTTTATCTAAAGTATATTTGCTACTAGCAACAGCAGTACAGAAAGGGAACATTTAGCTTTAAATTCTCCCTAAGTAAAGTTTTGTATATGCAGAAAATACCTGGCTTCTCTTTGATAAAAATCAATTGATTTAGGTTTTCTTCACTTACTGTTCATGTAATTTTAAGAGAACTAAAGCTGTGTGCTAATCTAGAGACACATCAGGAACAAATAAGAGTTTATTTGAAAATGTGCAACATAGTGCAACTTACTTTGGAACTTCTTTAATGTATCTGTCATACGCAAGGGTATTCTTTCCAAAATTGATCTGTTTTTGTCTTCTCCTCAGAACCACTTCATCTGTTTCCCTTTCAGCTGGATTAGCAGCAGTACTTGATACAGAGCTTAAAAATAAAAATTAGAATTAAGTTGAAAAGAACCTTAATACCTTTACAACAAGTTATATAAATACATACTTTAGAACTGCGTGTACTCTTACTCTGATAGAGAGTACAACTCTTACTTTAGTGGTTTACAGAATTGAAAGTTGTGCTAATCAAATCACTACAACAAAACCAGTAGTTTTGCAATTGCTCAGGTTTGTAACAAGTAAACATACACCCAAGGTCACTGATGCTAGAGCTGTCTTACTAGAAACATATAGCTAGTCATATAACAAGCAAATCAAATGATACATGATTATTGCATATATGTATAACAACCTCCTAATATAACTATGAAAGAGCTTAAACTCAATAAAATGAAGATGGATAGTACGAAGGAAGCTAGCTTGAATGATCTAATAGCCATTTCTCTCTATAATCCTTGACGGTTGGTTTTCCTTTTTACTTTCGTTATCCAGTATTTTCTCTTATAGAAAGCTTTAATGAATGTGCAATTTTAGATGAAAAAAAAAGATAATACGCAATGATCATACAAGTAGCTTTCGAGACAAGACTTCTCAGTGCTACTCTCTCCTTAAGGCTTGATATCAAACAGCCTGGCTGTGTTTCAAATCTTCATTAATGCATCTAAAGTAGCTGGAGGTCATCAGATGGCTATTTCTAAAACCAATGCAACAACAGTTAAGAATTATTCAGTACCCACTTTGTCATTTTTTTATTTGATGTCCTCATTGTTTTGCCTTCTTCAATTCTGTCTTCCCAGTCGGTGCAACTAGAAAGAGGCCTAGAATATTCTGGTGGTGTAGAGCTGGAAAACAATGAGAACTGGATATGAACATTTGATGCTCACAATGTATTTAATGAACAGAAACATCAACAGTGGACAAAAACAGCTCCACAACTGTAACACCATGGGCACAGCCCTGCTCTATTTCAGTTCAAAGTCAAACAAATTAAAACATTTCAGCTCAAGTCGCCTTCAGCAGCGATGTAATATTATCAGTTTCACTTTGTAGGGAAAGAAAATGCTCATGAAATGAATTTCACGTCAGAACATAGATCTGACCATCTCCCAAAATACTCCCAGCTCAGCCAATGCAAATGCTTCTCTCTCCTACTTAAGGACCTTCTCAATACTGCCATTCCAACAAACAGCGCAATAAATTACTTGAGATCAAAATCATCAGTCTATTCACTGCTCTCTGTCATCAGCTAAGGACTTTGTAAAGGACAGAAGAGATGCTTAAGAAACAGAAAAATGCCCATCACGTCAGGAGAACTAACACTTTGTCAGACACCATAGCCCAACATATAATTTCAACAATGTAAACTCTGTTGTGTAAAGCCAGGAAGCTCTTACTTCAAGAATGTAAACTCCACTGTATAAAGCCAAAAAGGGAGCCAGGAATCTCTTACTTAAATAATCAGCTGCATCACTGATGTTCTCCAAGTGAAGAAACATTTACCAGGTTCCTCACTAACTTAAAAAAAAACACAATAGTGAGAACCGTAGAATGCTATAATATTCTGAAGCTCTGAAAACTTATCCTTTCAGTCTGTCCACTTCTTTCTATGTTAATGCCTAAATATTTAACATATTACAGAAGCAGATTAAGCTTATAGTCTTACTTTCCCTAAACAGTGTTACATCCACAGATGAATCTACTATCCATGCTGCCAATGCCATTTTAACATATGACAAAGATTCCACACTATGAAGGAATGTATCTACTCATCAAAAGAAATACAAAATACTGCTAGCACATCCAGACTGATTCACTGTTACTATTTTTTATGATAGCAGACATAGAAAACACTCCTGAATACAAGGTCTTTCCTAAGCTCTTCAAAAGATTCATTTATTAACTGAAGCAATATTAAACACACCGTCAGAAATTACAATTATCTTCATATAATGTAATACTCAGAAATGTATATATTATCTTTAAAAGTTTTCATGTGCCTTCACTAAAATATTTCATCTCTTCTAACTTACATCCTACTCAGTTTTCTGCAGATACCCAAGTACTCATCACTTTTCATACTTCCTATCAGACATTAAGATACCAACCTCAGCCACTTCTTCCGCCTGAGGTCTTTAGTCTAAAATATCCAAAAGCAAAGCAAAATATTGCTGGAACTACCTACCTATAAAATTTGATATCATCTCAAATCATCTGGGTACTGGACTACAAAAAACAAATTACTAATAACTGTAGTACAGCTGAATAGACTGAGTGCACTGTCAAGTAAAGAGACAAACGTGGTTTGCCCACACACACGAAGATATGTAAGCAAAGCAGAAGTAACAGCATATTGCTTCAACAGGAGTTTTATACTAATATTGAAGATTTCAGCAATAAAGGCCTAAAGTACTGCACCAGTATACAGCATTTCTCTCTTTCATATGGAATACTTGCTGATACTATGGCATGTATTAGCCAAAGTGCATGGTCTACTCTGCATAATGCAGGTATCATTTGCTAACTCTGCTACTGCATTATTAGAAAACATTTAATATAATCACACCCAAGGTTTTGTTGGATTCCTAAAGAAAGGAGTGCAAAGTGAAGATTTAAATAAACTTCACATTTATTCCGTACCTCTCCAAACATTGGCTGAAATGGCTACATTGACATTCATCAAACACCAAAGAACTTGAATCATTCCAGCTTGTACAGTTCTGTTCTTGATACCAGCAGTGTGGATGTTGCACAGAACTAGAAAATAAGAATTTTCATCAGAAATCAAGCCGCTCATAGTCACTGAACATTCACTATACAAAACAAATATGGACAATCCGAATATTGTCATTCATAGTTACAAAATGCCTATTTGGCATAAATATGTGATTTCCGTCAACTTACTCATTCAGGCAACACTAACAAGAAAGGTGTTAGACAATGCAATTGCTGAGAAAAGGCCTTTGACTAATGCAATTAAGACATCAGAATTTTAAAATAAACCGTGAGTATTTAGACAATGAAAAGGATTTGCTCTCTCTATCTGCAAATATAAAGGGGGAAAAAACTGCAACAACTGAAGACTGTCACCAGTGTTTATGGAACTGCTGACGTGCCAACTTTCACAGATTCTCTGTCAGCAACGTGTTATCTGACATTTATATACCATTCTATCCGGCACTGAACTCATAGAATAGGCAAACACAGAAACATCACTTCAACACAGGAAAATGGCATGTCTAAGGAGATGGACAAGGAGCTAGAGTGGGACACTTGCAACATGCTGGAAGGACAGCAAGAAATTGCTTAAGGATTAAGAGCCCTTTCCATCTTCCTCCTCAGCTCTGGTGGCTTTGACATCTTAGAAGACAGGTTACTAAACAAAACACTGTCACAGCATCTGCTAACACCAGACCTGGCTTGTGGGCTAAGGAGCACACCTGCAGATCAGCCACAACCTGCCTCGGAGAATCACCCTATATTGCATACTCCACACGATAAATATACTGTTGTAATGTACATGCAAGTAAACAGTAAAGATACTGTTCTGTATGTGTGAGGTCTCTGAGTTTTTTAAGTCAGCAAGCGAGAGGGAAGAAAGGTTTATGTTATTTTAAGCCTGGATTAACAACCTATGTTTTCTTTTGCTTCCTCCTCCACCCTGACTGGCTTTGGGAGTTCCCTACTCCCTCAGGGCTCAGTTACCAACACACGCACCACAAATAGCTAACTCTGAATCACGGATCTAGGCTAAAGGACTGATTCTTTTTCTGCAAAGGCAGTGCATGGATAAAACCTTTCGCTAACCACCCCCAACAACAACAATTCAATTTAAAGACTTGAAAAACACAGACAGGAAAATAAATGAATAAATAAACAAAACCAAAAAGCACAACAACTAGCATGCCTTAGGTACAACACTATTTGAAAATCTAGGGAAACATGCTAGCTGTAAATACTGCGGCATTTCGCTACTTCCAGGGTCTTGCACTTCCCGTCCGCTCCGGCGCCAGCCCCAAGGCGGGCCCCAGCCAGACCCCAGGGCCCCAGTCGAACCCCGGGCGCTTCATCCCAGCCCATACACCGCAGCCACCCCTTTCCCCCCAGCCCAACTCCCCTCCCCGCTGCCAGAAGACAGCGGAGCCGCCTCGCTCGGCAAGGAGACTCCCTCAGCGAGGAGAGGCAGCGCCACACCCCCGCCCGCCCACGCACACCACACCCACCCCGGCCCTCCGCGACATCTCTCACCTGCGCAGCCCGCCCGGCTCCCCGCCACCGCCGCCGTGGGGCGGGAGGCCCCGCTGCCGCCCAAACATGTCTGAGGCGAGCGGCTCCGCCGCCCTCGCCGAACATGGCTGCGCCCCCGGCGCGGCGTGAGGCACCACGCAGGCGCGGCCCTTCCTCTGAGGGAGGGGCGGTGCCGTGCGCAGCGCGCATGCGCGGCATCCCCGCCCAGCACCGTGTGCAGCGCGCGTGCGCGCCATCCCGCCGTGTGCAGCGGCGGCCGCCGCGTATGCGCGGAAAGAGCAGCGGGGGGGGGGTTTTATGGTGGTGCTGCCGGGAGAGGGCTGTGGGGGGCAAGAGCATTCGTTCAGCATGGCGAGGAGGGTGGCAAAAATATGTTCCTTTTGTTAAAAAGCCGGAGGAAGGCGTCGCGTCCTGCTGGCCACGCTGCCGTGAGGCGGCAGGGGGCGGCTACCCTCACGGCCTAGCACTCGCCCCGGAGCCGCAGGCCTGCTCCGCCTGCCAGTCCGGCCAGGCCGCGGCCCCGGCGCGTTACCTCACGAATCAGCCTTTCTCATCAGGATTTGGCCAAGCTCATCGTCTGCGAGATGGGGTGACCCAAATCAGCTCAGCAAAGGGGCCTGATGGGCACCACAGCGTGTGCTCCAGAGAAACGTGTCCCACATCCATGGAACACACCACCGCCTCCTTCTGTTGCCGGTGCTTGTTAACATAGCTAAGCAATGCCACAATTAAAAAAAAAAATTAATATGTTTTATGCAGGGCACATCGTTGCGATGTGCCAATGCCTCCCTGGAAAGACACTTCTCCAGTCACCTGATGTCATGGCATCCAATGTCCACCCCCCCAATGGCTGTGGAAAGTATTTTTTGTTTTTTGTTTTTTTTTTTCCCCTGAGATACATGCACAGATTTTACACACCTTTAATTTATGCAACCCTCAGTATTCAGGTTATAGCAGGAAAATTCATCAAAGAAGGAATCACCAGGTCCCCCCTTCAGGAGAATTTAAGCCTTCTTTGTATTTACATGTTCTTGGCTAGAACATCATATACAGTTAAGTCAGGCTCATTTCCACCCATATAAAGTTTTAACTGGTAAACATAACTTTAAAATGAAAACCAGAAGTCTTACATAAAACCAATTGTATTTTTATTCAGCTCTTCAGAGAGTTTTAATATTAACTACATGTATTCATTAAGCCTTTTCCATAAAGGCTATCCAAATAATACTGTTTTAAAATAGGTACACTACCTAAGAAAAAAAAAAAAAAGAAACAAAACCCAAAACCAAACTGCAAATAACAAACCCTGTGGTATATCTTTGGAAGAAAAATGCCTTGTAATGCACGTAAGACCTTGAATATTAATATGTCAACTCCATAAAGATCTCAGAAGTCAACATTTCTTAAGAAACGGCACTCGGAACTTGAGTCAGTTACGTCTTAACTGTGGTTTAGCCTGACTGGAATGGAACGAAGCTGCAGTCCACCAAGTTTCAACACAGTAAAAATACTCGTACTGAAGAGATCACACAGGAACGTGGTATTTTGGTTTCAAGTTATGGCAAGCCTCATGGTAAACAACTGCATTCATATAATGGATTCAAAATACGTCCTGCTTGGACAAAATGCCATTTTGGTTTTGTTTTTTTGGATTAGCAAACTATGTTAACCTATAAAATCAACAGATAACATACTTTGCCAATATTCTCTGGAATGCTACAATTACAGAAATAACACAACTGTGGAAATAAATAATATAGTCACAGCCCATGTTTTTAGAAACAACTGTTCAGATGCAGCACAGAGTGAAATTCGGACTATACATATATATACATATGGGGTATTTACACTGACACTTTGCACCCACATATAGATTGTCTTATTGTAATGACATGACATTTACATAACGTACCTCAGATGACTAACATTGCCTACCCAGAAGTCAGTGATGTGGAAAAGCATACACACCACTGAAAAAGCAACACAAAATCGCTTATAAATTCAAGAAAATTCTTGAAGTAAATATTTTAGCCCATGACATTACTTAGTTCATTTTTTTTTCTTAGAGAAGTGCTGTAAAAAGACTGATTCTAAACCCTATCCTTATGTTTATGAAACGTACCAAGATTGGGTGGGAGGCAATGTATTTCTTTTTACTGCAGAGATCTTCTCTAGAAACAGCCCTGTATGTGAATGTGGTTTTACAGATGATGACCTGAAGCTGTTATGAAGACAAATGCCTATTTTTGTACTCTATTATTTTCATGATCGGCAATTTATTAAAGACAAATATGATATCAAATGACTGCGCAGGGAGAGGTCATGGTTTCTCCTACTGTCTGTAAGAAGAACAGATCACACGTATTTTTAACAAGTTGGATCTCTAACACAGCTTTTAAGAAGCTTACAACTTTGGAGGCATGCCAGATTACTTTGAGAAATTAAACTTGGAAAAAAATTGCTTGTTTTAAGGAATTTAAGCCAGACACTATTATTAACATAAATCATAAATTATTATTATTATTAACACAAATCATAACTTATTACTAAGTTTTCTAAGAGGCACTTCTGTGGATAGAGCACTACCATTAAAAGATGCAGGAGTATTATACAGTTATGACTATTACTTTGTCATACTGTTATACTGTCAAAAGAAGTAAGATGAATAAAAGCAAAGTTCCACTGAAATGACAACTTTGAATCAATTAAAAGTAGATTTCTGTAAATCTCCTACTAAAATAGGAGACTAAAGCTCTTAGTACATGAGATACTATTGGCAACTGACCTGTATCTATTGGCAACTACATGTATCTATTATCTAAGTTTCTTGAGGCCTTTAGGATTTTAACTTCACACATCTTTACAATAAATATTTTTATTCCAAACAGGAAAAGAGTTGGATGACTGTCAGGAACTGAATGACTGCCAGTGGCAAAACCACAACTCCAAAATCCTACTCTCTCTTCTGCAACTGCTTCAAGGACTACAGCCTTTCTATCTGTGTCACAATGTGTAAACTTTCCAGAAGTAAATGGTACAAAATGCTTATTTGTAAAGGCTGCTGTGTAAGGAGGAGGTGCATGTCAGATGACACCAACCTGCCCTGTGAGAATCTTACAAAGGTTAAAAAGTCCTGCAGAGACCATTTCAAACTTTTAACTGGTCATTGGAGGGTGGACAGCTAGAACACTAAGCACTGCACTTAGGTCTAGGAGTAGGGCTCTCTTAAATGTATGGAAACCGCTTTTCTTTTAATTTACTAATTATTCTGATGCAGATCAGATCAAGCAGCATGCACCAGTACCGTATGAATATTAAAACAGCAAGTACTCCTTGTGATCAGCCTTTGAATTGCAAGCCCAAAAAGCCTTTGTTAATGATGGTCATTCTTGAGGCACCTAGCACAGCAACATGTACCTCTGTGATACTGGCGTCTCTGTCAGCAGAAAGGTTACCCCTCAAAAAAAGCTCACAGGCTTTGAAATAGCTGAGCATTCTTCCAGAGTATTTAGCCAGTTCAGATGTCTGCTGCACTCTCTTCAAATGTATTAAATAAAAATAAAAATCCTACCACCTAAACAACATTGAAACCCTAAGCAATGTAGCTCCTGGAAACCAACAGGTTTAACAATGCATACTATTAGCAGCGTAGGTAAACGGGGTATGTTTCTGAATCCTTCTGTTGTTTGAAATAAATACATCCATCAAAAATTAAACTAAAGACAGATTAATGGAATAAAAAGTCCCTAGGAGAGTTGTTCATCGTCAGGGATTAAATTCCTTAGTCTACAGAAACTGATCCCTTTCTAAGCGGAGGGGACCAGCAGAAGGAACACAACTGGTCCACTTTTTTGGTGAACACTTGCAAAGATCAGTAAAAGCTTTACAAATGGATTAAAGAAGAACAAAAGTATCAATGAAGTCTAATCAAAGTAGTTTTCTCTGTTAGCCCTTTCCTAAAGAATCAAAACCCGAGTTAAATTTTAAAATTTTAAGAATTTAACCTACGTTAAAACTTGAAAAGAGAATACTACTGCAAATATAAAAGGATACAGTTATTCCATCCAAGACATAAGAAAGCAAAATATGTTTTAAGAAATAATAATGCAGAAACTGACATCTGGCGAATAAAAACCAAAGATATGGGTAAAAGTATAGAGGAACTGAAAAGATTTACGCCTGTTTTCAGCACTGTAAAAGAAACCTTTGGATTTCGCACCCCTGTAGAACGTGAAGTCTCAAACAATTCCAACAGGCCTTTTAACCAAATCCAGTATGAAATACAGTCAAATTTTAAAAGTTAAAACATACCCAAGTACTATTCATCGTATTATGCAAACATCTAAAATGCAAAATTTGGCTCGGCAAGTGGGACAAGGCACTTGGCTCGACAGCCAGGTCTCTGGGTGCTGCTGGTCCTGTCGGCTGGCAAACCATTTGCCCATGCAGGTGAGGCACCACATGGGACGGCAGTAGCACTGCTGGCATTCCCCTTCGTTTGGCTCCTGGCAGTTCTTGATGAGTTTGATGTTAGCGATAGTCTGCATACACCCTATGCACGGCTCCAGCTCCTAAAAGAGAGGAAAAACATCAAAATTATGAAGTGCACAGAATGGGTTCCGTTACTGCTCTTCAAAGGCTTTTAGAAAATTACCTGGGCGCAAGCACAGCAGGAACCTGAGTTGGGCAGAGCCTCAAGGCACAACTGCCCCACCAGAAGACAGCAAAGGCTTTCAGTCTACAGAGCCCTGTTTTATTAGAACATCCTCTAATGAACTGCAACAAAGTATCTCTTTAAACAGAAAACACAGAACTGCTACATGAGACTGATTAAACAAAAACAACTGAAAATAAACGTTCTTTGTCTGAAGAGCTCCACCGGTTTCCAGAGCACAGCAGCCAGAGCAAGGTAAGCAAGCAGCCATCTTGATCATTCAGACATACCATTTTTCAAAAAACATACCAATATAAAGTAAGGAAAATAAAGCAATCAGTTCTTACCACTTATTACAGCAAACAGCTGTTCCTATCTTCCAAAACAGAAATAACAGAGGAAGTCGGGGCTCTACTTAACACAATGGGAGCTCATCTTGAAAGGCCAGAAATGTACTTAATTTTTTTTTTTTTTTATAATATTGGAATAATTGATAATTCCCCACCATTAATTATGCCATATGAACTGTTGCATCTAGGGAGATCATCTTGCGTCTAGGGAGATCATCTTGCTATGAAGTGTTTCACAACTAATAAACAATAATTAGTGTTTCCCATGTGTCTCCCAAACAAAGCTGTCCCAGAACTCGACAAAGTCCGAAAGACAGCACACTGAACGGGCTTGGAGACCTGAATCCTGTTCATCCTGCTATCAGAGTGACAAAAAAGAGCTCTGTTTTGTCATCTCTAGTTCCCACCTCCTTCGTCTCTTCCCTTCTATTGTTTGTTCAACTACATTGGCCGCTTGACTGTGGAGCAGATCCAGGTGAAAACTAGTCATCTTTCTTTGCCTCTTTTTACCTCGATTACTTCCCCAACCAGGTTCACAGCAGAAAAAGTCTTGTGTCAACAGGATTATGATGAGAGTGCAGGAAGCAGGACCGATTCTTTCAAAAGCTGATCAGCTTTAACTTGTGAAGTTAGGACTTAGTTTAATTTTTAGGCAGGAAAAACTCTAGCACAGAAAGGTTCACTAACTTTTTCAACTTATTCATGGAGCTTCAGAAAAGGGAAAAATCCTATGTTGTATTTTTAATGTCCACATCATAATTTCTGATGTTATTTATCACTCAATGCCAAAACAAAATTCAGTACTTCAGCTGACACTTAAATAGGCCATAAAATAAAAGCCCTGCAAGAAAGCAAATCTCTCACGAGTAGTACCTTCTCTTTATTTCGAACACCTCTTTTCACTGTACACTGGCACTGCAATCAGAACACACAGGCACATTACATGCAGACTTACCCGGTCCGATTCTATTTTAGCTAGTTCATGTAACCATACAGTCAAGACACCATACAAGCTGCATGACCCTACCAAAGATATCAAGTACTCCATCAGCTGGAATATCTGACTCACTGCAAGTTCACCAGAACTAGTTAAGTTAGTTACCTCTGGTACACTAAGCAGTGCTCCAGTCACACTTCTGATTGCAGCACAAGTATAACAATCACCAGGTCTCTGCGAATATTACTGAAGGAAGGACTCCAGGGTGTTATTTACAATTAAAACAAGCCCCAGTTAAGAATCATGAATTTATTTCAGCAGAAGATCCAGCAAAACCTGGCTGTCTAGAAAAACAAGCTGTAATGGAACGAACTGCCTAAAGAACAGTAGCAGCAGCTGTGATTCTAGCTCCCCAGAAGATTTCTGGAAATGTAACCTCATCATTTCCAAATGTTTTCAAGCATATTTTTTATGGAAATTATTATAGGGGACTTTTTTCCACTATGCTGTTTCTCATGTCTCAAAAAAATGTAATGCTCACCATACAGTTCATCTCCTCATAGAAGGAACAAAAGCAGCAGCCGAACTACATTTATTAGACATTTACTGAAATGGAAGGTGAGCCCTTGTGATGGCTGCACCCACCCTGACTGAGTGAACAGCACTTTGGTCCAGGCATCACTGACGAGGGGCCTGACTGGAGTCAGCCCTGCTGTGCAGGCCTTGAGACGTTGTTCGAGGCCATAATTTCTCAGGAAGTTAAGGAATTTAGGCTATATCTTACCAGGATCTAAGTGTGCCAGCCTGAGATGGAACCAGGAGAAACTACAAGTGCTACAGCTGCACACCCTCAAAGGGGAGTTTAACTACGAGTCAATTACTTTACACTATAAATATCTGTAGCCCCCCTGAGCCTGTTGAGCTCTCCTGCACAGCAGTGATCTCCCCTTGGGTAGGATGCCTCTCAAGGTTACTCCTGGAGTAACCATACCATTGTGTTATCAATTACAAAGTAATCACAGGCTCACCTGTATTGAAAAGTATAATTATTACAGTGGATAGAAAGTCTTACCTGAGTGCTTGGAACAGGATATGTCTGGTTAATTTCCACCAGAGATGTAAAGGTTTCTAGAAATAAATCACTAAGGCTTTGATGGATCACAACGTTGGCTGCATTAACGATGGGAGCACGCAGCTTTTCTCGGAGCTCCCCATACTCTGTGGAGTTCAACCTGAAGAAGGAGGGATGGAACAAAATGTTATCTTGATTATGCATTCAAACACCTTGCTAGTACACTGCAGAGGTTAATATCAGAGGTGAACCTGCTCTGGCAGAGGGGTTGACTAAATGATCTCTAGAGGTCCCTTCCAACCCCTGTCATTCCATGATTCTGTGATCAGAGAAGTAAATCCACAGAAAAGTTATTTAGGTTGGTACATACTATTCAGAATAAATACATAGTGAGCATTTTGTTTTCTTTTGCTGTTTGGTTGCTGTTGGTTTTGACATAACTTAGACAACAGAAGAGGATGTCCTCCACTTCTGTGTCAGGTTGCCAACAGGATATGCAAAAGAGTAGCTGAAACATCGCACAAAAATAACGGAAGGCTTTTGAAGCAATCAGCATGAACAAAAGCAATACAGTTAACATAAATCATGCGTTAACTGTAAAGTACTACATGCACAACTTCTGTACACCTTTTTAATGCCTATTTACTTACACCACATCTAAATTCTAAGCTCCTGAGGACAGAAATCAGTTACATCATGTGGCAGGTATCACATGGTGACAGAGTACATATAAGTATCAGAAGAATGTCAATTAGTATCAGTTTCTGTGATTTTATGATACAATTTTAGATAAACATGAGATTTTGCAAAGATTACAAGCAGCTGCTGGATGTGATTTACACTTTGATTAAAGGCCCTAACAAGCTGTGTTTCACACAAGGCCTTGTGCAGATCCTGTAGTGACACATGACTGTTGTTACCCCTTTTCAACCTAACAGTTCTGAACTGTAGATTCAGAACTCCCCAGCTCAATGTTTCCGCTCGTTAAACAGCTTTCATGGAGAAGCCCTGGCAACATTGCCCTGAAATTCCTCATTCTTCCTACCACTCGCTGACTTCGCAGAGCCCAGCACAATGAAATACTGGCTTAGCTTTAGCTCCCAGTGGTCTCCATTGTTTTACAGGATTATGCTGTTTGTTAACAAATACTATCTGTGCAAATAACAGAGACCTTTGTATCCAGAAGAAAAAAATCAATCACCTTGAACACACAGGGAAATGTGGCCTTACCTACACAAAAGCATTTTTCTTCCAGAAACATCCCACTATATCTAATTCTGATTCTGGATATATACAATGATTGTACATCCTTAATAGGGGAATTTTGTCCCATTGCATTTTTCTTAATTCCTGTATGGCTGCATTTTAGCAGAGATTTGTTAATTCTGGCACATCTTATTGCAAGAACTTTTAGGCACTCTTCTCAGTGATGCTCTGTTTAGCCACAAAATAAAATTTTGGGGTTTGGACTTTCTTTTTTTTCCCCTAAAAGGAATTGCCTTTAACAATGATTTTCTCAGCTGGGGATGTAGTTTTATCACTCTGGCACTGAAGCACTTACAAATCATTAGCTGTTTACTACTTCTTTGGTCACCACTCTCACAGGACTGTAAAAGTTTCCTCTTTTTCCTAAGATTGTCATACTCACCTTAACTAACCTCTCATTCTGAGCTCTGTTCACCTGGATATTTAACAAACACCTCTACACCTTCCTGCTTGCCAGGACCCTTCTGCTCACCTACCAGTCTGGGGATCTGCCTACTTTTAATTACCTAGTAAATAAGCACTGCCGACATACAAATTCACAGAAAACAGACACCCAACTGCCTTTTCAAATATATGGTTTTAAGAGCACTAGCATGGCTTTGTGAGCTCCTTTTAGCGATACAACAACAACATCAAAGGCTTTAGCACCATTCTAATCGGCATTATGGGTTTCTGCAGAATTTGTACTTTGCCGAGCTACACAAAAAGACTACTGGAAAAAACCAGCATGGGCCTTTGAAAACAAGCCCTAATAGTTCACAGCACGTTTGCTATAATTTACTGCTACAAAACCACACAAATCAGAAATCGACCAAAATTACTTCCTTGCTTTAAGGGCAGTTAGCTTCCAGGAGCTCAGCGAGAACTCTTCTGAGCAGTGACAAAATTATGAGCCTCGAGCAGAAGGCAAAAAAAAAAAAAAAAGTCACAGGTGAACAGCCAGTTTTAGAAAAACAACTATCTCTCCTCCCGCAAAATTTGAAAGACCAAAGATGCTCCCTTTCATTCCTGTTCTCCATCTTTCACCTGAGTTTTTCCAGTTACTTCTTTCTGCATCCAGCACAATCCTCTTCTGGGAATGGATTAACAGGGTAGTCCTTCTGTTTAACCACTGTGCATTTGATACTGTAGGTGCATGTATCTTTCTAAACAACCTTTCTTCACTGCACTGCATGGCAGAATGGTGCAAACAGCACCCCTGAAAACCAGGCAGGGAACAAAAAAGAAGGGACAAGACCCCAAGGAGTCCGCAGATCTGCCACAAAAGCACTCCATTAGTACCATCAAACAGCATATATATAACATAACAGGGTAGTTGTTTTACCGGATATCAAATGCCTTCACGTAGGGATTAATACTGGCAACACGGATGGTGAGGAACTGCACAGGCATGTTAGAGTCTGGGGTGAGTTCATGCTGTCTGGAGTCTGTCACCGTCAAATGAATGTCCTGCTGCTGGGCAACGTGTAAACAGTAGGTGGTCACTTTAATCACCCACGTGTCTGTAACGATCACCCTTGCTCCTGGGGCTCCAGTAGCAAATTTGTCGATTCTCCTAAATTCTGTATTGATGGAAGAAGCTACTGCCCTCCAACCTGACTGCGGGAGAGCATGAAGAGCGAGCGTTCGGGCTAACGGATGATTATTCCAACCTTTCCGAGACCAATAATATGCCAGGGCACTGGTGACTGCTGGCAAGAGAACAGCAAAGAAGAAGAAAGTTTTCCATCCTTTTGAAGCCAAGTAGAAAAAACAAAGATGTTTTTCAGGTGCAGCAAAGCACATACCAAGGTAATAACCTGTAAGGAAGAAGACTTACTTTCAAAAAGCAATTAAGTACATGGATAAACACATAACCCTGACTCATGCAGTTATCTAACCAGTGAGTTCACCCCCTGGAGAGCTATTGTACTTCTGGATGATAACTCAAATTCAAGCCTCTTGTCCTAAGCAACCTGAGATAAATTCCTACCTGTCACTGATTTTTACCAGAATTACATAGCCAAATGAAGCAGATGTGAATTTGCAGGTTAAATAAAATCACCCGCAAGATGACACTTACATGGCTAAAGAAAGCTGATTTGAGTTTGCGGGTTAAATAAAATGCCATTCCTTTGTAACCGCATGCCATTGCGTGCCGGGCAGAGGCAGCCAACTAGTTACAAAGCTTAGGGCGTACACTGCCAAGCTGCCTCAGCGACACTAAAACACTGTATTTCCAAGATACATCGCGTCACCTGACTCCCCCCACACCTGCCTGCCCCCGACCCACGGACACGGGGCGAGGGACCCCCCTTCGCTCCGGCGGCGGGTTTGCCTTTCACACTCCCCAGGCTGAGGGCTCCCTCCCACCACCGCGGCGACTTGCCCACGGCGACCACCACCGCCACCACCACCTCCCCCCTTCCCCAGGGAACCCTCCCGGCGGCCGGGGCTCACCCAGGGGCAGGAGGGAGTGCGCCAGCAGGGTGCCGGTGCTGCGCCGCAGGTGGTACTGCACGAAGGCCGCGTCCTCGCTGCCCAGCCAGGCGGCCAGCAGGCTCTGCACCGTCAGCCCGGCCGAGCGCACCTCGTCGGGGGGGAAGACGAAGCAGACAGCGAACACCAAGTAGGCCAGCGTGAAGGTCACCGCCGGGCTCTCCATTCTGCATCCCCCACCCCCCCCCCCCGCCCCCCCTTCCCGGGCAGGGCCCGCTCCCGCCGCCGCACGGCCCGGCCTGACCCCACCCGCGGCTCCCTGGGAGCGGTAGTTCCCGGCCGGGGAGGTTCCGCCGGGGCGGAGCCGGCCGCGGGGTGGAGGCGCGGCGATCGATCAGTGCGAGGCGGGCCCGCGCCGTCCCCGGTGGCTAACGCCCAGCTCCAGCTGGCTACCGGCCGGCTGATTCAGCCCCGGGCTCCGCAGAGCCGGGCAGGGCTCGCATCGGCCGGTGGCCGGCCCTGCCCGTGGGCTCACGCTGTGTAAACTTGTATAAGGCCTGGCAAAACGAACTCGCTGCCTCCTGAGCTTAAGAGAACTCTGCTGGGTGAGGACAGGGAACAGGAAAATGGCCCACCTGACTTCAGAGCTAGAACAACTTTGGTTTGCCTGCTGGATTCCATGTAATATTTCCTTCAAAGAATGGTCAGGACAGGGAAGTAAAAGTCTTAAAAGGCCGTAAAGTGCATCAGAAAATTAGACTGAGAGAGCTGGGGTTGTGCAGCCTGGAGAAGAGAAGGCTCCGGCGAGACCTCATAGCAGCCTACCAGTATCTGAAGGGAGCTACAGGAGAGCTGGAGAGGGACTCTTTGTCAGGAAGTGTAATGACAGGACAAGGGATAACAGTTTTAAACTGGAAGAGGGGAGACTTAGTTCAGATACTAGAAAGAAATTCTTTACTGTGCGGGTGGTGAGGCACTGGAACAGGTTGCCCAGGAAAGTTGTGGATGCCCCATCCCTGGAAGTGTTCAAGGCCAGGCTGGATGGGGCTTTGAGCAACCTGCTCTAGTGGGAGGTGTCCCTGCCCATGGCAGGGGGGCTGGAACTCAATGATCTTCAAGGTCCCTTCAACTCTAACCATTCTGTGATTCTATGATTCTTTATCTCTACACTCCTGAACACATCAAAGGGAGGTGCCTGGCTGGCACCTCTGGTTACTACTGAAATACAAATAACAACAGCCGCAAGAATCACCGTTTCTCTTAGAATGCAACAAACCTCCTGCTTGCACCCTGTAGTAACCCCTAAACTGCAGTATTTGCCTCCTTCAGAGAAAGGGGAAATCGCGTAATTGGAGAAGCAGGGCAGGGAAAGCAACACGCAGTGTTGTACGCTACTGCCCATGGGGAGCCGAGTAAATGGGGAATGCCGCCCCCGGAATGTGAAATCTTAGGCTGGCAGATGGCCCGTGTGCCGCTGCTGTCGATGGAGATGGGGAATTCACGGTGGTTTAGTGACTCCCGACTAAGACAGAGGCACCACTAAAATTATGCTTGGATTACAAGCATTGCATTTCATTCTAAAAGAGGTCATTGTTTGCAAGTTTCTTCTTTTAACAATCATTTCATTGTTGCTGTCTAATGACTCAACTGTAAGGGCTTTTAATTTGCGGAATGGACTATAAAGTTCAATAATAAAAATCAGGTTGTGAAGCAGCAATTTCTCCTCCTGTGATTTTACTCAGAAGATTGTTGAAGCAGAATAACTGAGCAGTCAAAGATGTGTTCAGGGCTACAAGGGACTGATGGGGTTTATGTTGTGAGGGAGAAAGAGTGGCAAAATGGTGTAACAGCTACAAGGGACACTTGTGCAAAAGTCCTACAGGTGATGGAAGTTCATATGGATTCTTTTGTCAACATGGAGCTCTGAATGGAACCAGAATTTAAACGTGGAGCTTCTTCTTCCAAAAGCTTTCCAGCTTCTGAGATGATCCTGTGCTAATTTCTATATCAGCAGTTCTCATTTTCTTTACAGTCCTAATGGTATCAACAGTATTTCATAAACTCACTGCAGGACTGAGTCTCAGGGGACGGTCCAGATTTACTTATACTGACCTCTTTTACAAAGCCTGGCCCAGCATAGGCCTGTCCCAATTCCTCCATAGCAGGCACCTACAAGGAGAACATTGGGGCCTGCACCTCAAATTCTTGCAGTTTTGCTTGTGTAGAAATCAGTGTGTGCGTGGCACAGAGCAGTGCGAATGCACAAACGTCAGCCTGGCCTTCCCCTGGCCACGGAGCCATGTGGACGGGCTGATGCCCAGGAGGTGCTCTGGGGTCCACAGAAATACATCTGGGCCTTTAGTGCTTTGTCCCCACCCTCTTACTTCACTCCTTCTATGGCAAAAAGTATTTTAGGTAGTGAGAATTTGCTTTTCTAAAATTTCATGCCAAAGGGCGGAATTATTTACCTCAGGATTTGCAGACACAAGCCTCTGCCCCCAGAAACAACCAAGTCCTGTGGGGGTCTGATCATGGACACAATGGACACTTCACGCAGTTCTTCCCGAAGAATACCAGACACGCATTCTTTTCGCCCTAGAGCCGGTATCCGCTTCCCCCAGTGTGTGTCTGAAGCGGGACGTGGCTGCTAGCCGCCCCCAGGCTGAGGCATTCAACCGTTATTCCCGTCAGCGCGGCGCCATGACTAGCGCCTATTCTTTCCCCCTCCCCCGAAGACTACACTTCCCAGCATGCCTCGCGCGGGAGCGTACTCCCGCGGGGCCTCATGGGCTGCTGTCCCCGCCCGTCTGCAGCGCGCTTTTCTGATTGGCGGACGCGTTCCGAATGCCGCTTCCTCATTCGCGAGCTGGGGCGGCCGTTGAAATTTGAAATCTTGTAGCGGCGGCAGAGGGGGCGCTGGCCGGCGGCGGCTGCAGCGGCGGGGAGCCCGAGTCCGTCGGATCCGGAGCATCGCCTCAGCTGAGCGCACTGCGGGCTCGTACCCGGGCCCCGCCGCCAGGTAGGGGTCCGTTGGGAGGTGCCGGCCAGGTAGCGGCTCCAAGCTTCTGGGTGAGGTAGGGCTAAGGCGGTACCCAGGCTCGGGCCCCCCTTCTGTGAGGGTGGGGGGGCTACACAGGCTCGGTGACCCTCTTCCTCTGAGCCTGGGAGTCTTATGGGGCTGGAGGAGGCTTGGGGACCCTCTCTGTGAGCTTGGGGGTGGTGTGGGGCAGAGGGGGCAGGACGGGGCACATGCAATCTCGGGGACTCCCTTTGTGAGCTTGGGAGTGGTGTGGGGCTGTAGGGAGCCCCTGTCGAGGGGTTTCATGGGCGCTTTTGTGAGCTCGGGACTAAAACTTGAGGGGAACTTCGGTGAGTTGGGGGATGAAGAGGTGCTTGGGGGTAATGGGGGGGTAGGGGGTGA